AGCTGGTGTGTGGTGAGCGTTCTGGCGCACTATGGCTGCCGTCGCATCATCCAGGTGGATGCTGCACATTGGTGGTGGTGGAGGGGAGACCCCATTACCTGTAAAGCGCTTTGAGTGGAGTGTCCAGAAAAGCGCTATATAAGTGTAAGGAATTATTATTATTATTATTATTACACCTGGAGAGTGTCAATTGGTTGCCAGTTGTGATTTGCAGGGTGATATAGCTACTGGATTACTTTAGTATCGATTCTATGAGATTGTCCTGAAGCAAAGTGCCTTTTTTAACTATTCTGGAATACTGTGTGCCTGTTTCTCATTGCTTCTTCTTTATTATATGAGGGCAGGCCCAAGGGTCTGCTTGTACAAAACCTCACGATACCCAATGTAGTGAAGTTCGAGGCTTTATTGCGTATGTGTTGTATTCCAGGATACAACAAATGAAAAATAATAACAAAAGTCCTTACTGCCCCATGTACTCCCTGTTTTAACAAACAAAAGCGTAATTACACCCATATGACAATGTGCTGGAACACCCTTCACCACTAATCTACTAATTAGAGAATTAACACCTGCTGTTTGGCTGTTCAGAACAATGAGAGTCTCTAGCGGCCGCTAGTGGCAGATTAGTATCAACGCAGCCCTTTTTAATACGGCGTGCCACAGTTGAGTGTAAATACTCTCAGCGTCCTTGAGTATTGTTATAGTTAATTTTTTTTATATTCATATAGTATATTTAAATACCATACTATTATATATATATATTTATATTTTATATAGTGATTGGGTTTGGAAAGAATATGTAAGGACAGGGTTGACTGAAAAAAATAAACTATTCTATCACTATCGCCAACAATTTTTTTAGCCATTCCTGAGGAGTTAAAAAAAAGTCCACAGCACACCCGAACAGGAAACAGCTGATAGAGCACTGAAGACTTTTTTAGTCTTCTTATTGAAGACTTTTAGATTATGCATCTGAAAATCCAAGTACTACTAAGTAGTGCTCCATGCCCAAGCTTATTTTAAAAAAATTGACAAAACGAGTCAAACAAGCAGTGTTTAAAATTATTAGTGTGCAAATTCTGGGATGACCAATGCATTGGCATCCAGCTTTTGAGTTTGCTTTGTAAACGTTTTAAAGCTGTAATATGCAAAATATGTTTATGTTCCCTTTTAGTTTTTATGTACTATAAATGCATTAATTGTATTGCCATTAAACAGGTCTTCAGAAATTTTGAAATATTAAACTTGTGTATTTTGTGATGTAAAATTTAAAAGTTTTCTGCAGACACAGTAAAGGTAAAATTACTGTAAGGTAAAATTAAAAAATTACTGCAAAGCAAAAAAAGGTCACCTCATTACTTCTCTCTAATTATCAAAATAATGGTGTAGAATTGTAAAAGCTGTAAAATACAACTTTTACGTTAGATTAAACCACAATTTTTGTTCAGCCTCTGTACTTTTCACACACTAATATATATTAGTTTTTCACAACACAATAAATAAGAGATAAGTGGGATAGTTTGCACAAATAAACTTCTATTGAAAACGTTGTTGATTGTCCCCCAAAACATCCAAGCTTAAAATATATCTGCAACATCCCTGTATATGATTTTAAAAACTGGAGAACAATAAGGTTATAAGCACTGACAGAGATTTTTCCATTCGGAAACTAATAAAAAAATGTGTAATTTGGCAGAGAACCATTACAATTCGGCATTTGAGGTCAGTGCTTATTTTTACAGTGACCTTATGTGAGTTAAGAGATTTACTTTCCACTGGGTGGAGATTTCATCCAGAAGTAAGTTTTAAGGGCTCTTCACCGTTCACAAGCCTTTCATTTGGCCTCAAGCTCTAACTTAAAGCACAGTGCGTTTTCTTTTACAGATACGATAATGTAATTGAGCAGGTCAATTCAGGCTTATTTTTCAAATAACTTTTTCTGTTTAGGATCTTCTCTAGGTATTATAATTAACATTTATAGTTCGAAAGCCTCAGTGTAAAGTTAGACATTTCCTTAATTGATATAATTAATCTTAAGGTTATAAAATAGTCATGTATTTCTGTGTTGAGCAGATATGGTAGAATGTACGATTTCTGCTGGTGGCTTTTTGGAGAATATTAAAGAGTTCATTTGAGATGGACTGGCGCCCTCTCCAGGTTGTATCCTGCCTTGCGCCCGTTGCTGGCCAGGTTGAGCTCTTCCCCAGGACCCTGAAGTGGATAAAGAGATTTGAAAATGGGTGAAAGGAAGAGTTCATTAGCATACTAGAGGTAGATATTTTCTGAGTCGCTGAATTTGGTTATTTCCAGTTTCAGAGAGACAAGACTATGTCTTCTTGCCAGAAAACATCTCAATAATGACAAATGACCCTGCCAATCCATTGCATTCTGGAAGTATCTATCTATTCTTCAGGCTACTGTCAATAATCCTGGAAGAAAGAAAAGGAAATAGGGAGAAAAAGGTTTTAATGGTCACAAGTATCTGAGGTTATCAGGGTAATGGTTTATTCCACTTCTTTTTAGATGGATCTGTGGGTCCAGGAGTTTTGTGCTCCTTTCTTCAATGTCATAAATTGTAGGTAAAGCAAGCAGAAGTGGTATTCCTGAACCGATTCAAGGTAGATGTCTTTAGATGCTGTTTGTGTGGTTTCGTATTGACAATAGTATAGTGGATAGTAAAGGGTGTCTCTCTGGAAATCACCGTAAGAACATCGGAAGGGTTACAAATGAGAAAAGGCCAATCGCCCCATCTAACCATTCTGATAGTAGTTAATGTAACTAACTACTAACTAATTAACCAAAGAATCTCGTCCAACCATGTCTTGAAAGGTGCCAGGGTAACGGCTTATACAACATGGCTGTGTATCTTTTTTCCTGCGCCCACAACCCTTTGTGTAAAGTGCCTCCTTTTCTGGTTTTTAGGTCCGCTGTGTTGACCTTGTCAGTGCCTTTGAGGATTTTGAATGCTTGTGTCAGGTCACTCGTAAACCTTCCTGTCCGGGGCTAAAAATGTTCTCTTCCTCCAGCCTGTTAAGAAAGGACATTTCCTTAAGCCTTATGGTACCTTACCAGTTGTACTCAAGGATATGAGAGCTGTTATTCAGAAGCCATTGAACCAACTCTTAAAGCAGTCCCCCAAGACAGCTTTAACACCCAGGACATGGAGATGAGCCAATGCAGTACCCAGCCTAAAAAAGGGAAAGATACTAAACCAAGTCATTATAGACCAATATGTCTTACATCTGTTATGTGTGAGGTTATAGGAATGATTTTTGATAAGTAAATGAGAGGATCACCAATACGGAAACAATATACTAGGAAGTAAACAACATGATAAAAGGTAGGTCCTGCCTAACTTGTTACAGTTCTTTGAAGAAGCAACAAAATAATGGGTATGCATATAATTTCGTACAGTATTGCATTTTAAGAAGGTTTTTGGTGACTCAGAGAAATGTGAGTTTGTGGATTCAGAATTGGTAATTAAATAAATATCAGGATTTTATTTCTCTTATACTATTTCTCTTAAATTGTGTCTCATACCTTCAAATTCTGATTTCTGCAATTCTCCTTTCAATGATTGTAATTCAGTACAGGAAAATGAAATGAGATAGAAAATTAGGTAAACTGTAATGCAGATGTCAGGGTAAGCTGAGACAGCCGCAAGAAACGGAGCAGACTGTTCTGATTAGATGCTTTTAATGGTTTAACTGTGGTCTGCACGCATGTTCTCATCTGTGTCCAAGTGACCATGTTTTGTAATCCCTCTTCCCCATTGCAGACAGAGTGACCTGAAAGAAGAGGTCTGTAGAGGCTGAAACAGTTCTGTTACAGTTATGACTCTATGAGATATTACCTGATGAACTGTTTTAAAACACATTAATACTCACTAAATGTCACAATCTATGAAACAGACTATTTTTTTCACAGATCTTTGTTCAGTCTGGCTGCTCCCGGAAAACGTTTTTTGTTGAGGATGCTCTCCTTTACTTTTGTTTTAAATGAGAGAGCCATGTGTAAAACCTGATTTGTTACAGATTATCATCACTACACAGTAGAAATACCTTTCTCCACTTGAATTACACAGTCTGAAGTTCTGAACAGTAGAAGGAACTTTCTCCACTTGAATTACACAGTCTGAAGTACTGAAATGTCTGTAACACAGGCTCCCAAAAAACCTTGAAGCTTGAGGAGCTTTGTGGATCAGTATTACCCCAGAAAGTCAGATGCTGTATTCTTCCAGCTTTTTGCATCCTTAATACCAACGTGCAGTAGCAGCTGTTTAACTGTCATTTCCACATCAAAAGTTCAGTGAACCAGCATCTTTGGTTGTTAGCACTGGAAGATGTACAGTAACGTAAATATACAAAGTGGATATGGAGAGGTATTCCATTATACTGTATGTACTTTCTTTCTTTTTCCCCTAACCTTAGGAAACCAAAACATTCCAAAACCTCGGAGAATTCTGCGCTCCTCTTGGGGAAGTAACCCCTACATCTATGGGTCCTACTCCTTCACTCGTGTGGGGTCCAGTGGAGTTGATGTGGAGAAACTAGCCATGCCACTGCCTTACAATGAAAGCACAAAAACACCAGTAAGTGACACTCAGCCCTCTCCCTCACTCTGTTCCCAGCAGACCAGTTCAGCTTATTACTTCTTACAAAGCCTTTATTTTTTCCAGAACTTAGTTGCTCAAGATGAAAGTTATAATAACAATAATACACTTATATAGCGCTTTACTGGACACTCCTCTCAAAACACTTCACAAGTAATGGGGATTCTCCTCCACCACCACCTACTGTATGTGCACATCACCTCTCAGTGGGGAGGAGAGCAGAGTAATGAAGCCAATTCATAGATGGGGATTATTAGGAAGGGCCAATGGGAAATTCAGCCAGGACGTCAGGGTTACACCCCTACTCTTTTCAAGAAACGCCCTGGGATTTTTAATGACCACAGAGAGTCAGGACCTCAGTTTTACATCTCATCCAAAGGACGGCACCTGTTTACAGTATAGTGTCCCCGTCACTATACTGGGCCATTAGGACCCAAACAGTCCACAGGGTGAGCACCCCCTGCTGGCCCCACTTACACGTTTTTCCAGCAGCAGCCTTAGTTTTTCCCAGGAGGTCTCCCATCCAGGTACTGACCAGGCTCACACCTGCTGAGCTTCAGTTGGCTGCCAGTTGTGAGTTGCAGGGTGATATGGCTGCTGGAAAAAGTTGGATAAACTGATGTATGTAACCATCCAAGATCTCAGAATGCAAAAAGTGCTGAGAGAGGTTTATTCATCAGCAGACACTTTTAGTGATGTTAAGTGATTGGTAATTAATGCAGCATATTAAAAAAATAGAGGCAAGTCCCTCACTCCACATTTAATAGGTTTTTAACAGATACTTCTTGATATCTGAATGCCTGATCCATTTTGAAAATTCCTTCTGCTGGTGCCTTTCTCCACCAGGTGCCACTGGTTTTCTTAAAAGCTTCGGTGTGGCTTATTCTGTCTTATTCTAGTGAGGGTACTTTCCAGTACACTGAAGTGTTCCTTTCGAGCATTCTAGTATTCTAGTATTTTAAAGTGAAAGGAGCTGCCAAATAAGTTTTTAGCTGGCTTTTACAGTAGAGGTTAAAGAACAAGAGATAAGGATGATGAGAAAACAACGAGGCTTGAAAGAATGGATACAGTTTTTGAATGGATAAAGCAGGAATCCTCCATAGAATCCAAGAATCCTCCATACTTTCTAAACCGCCTTTATTTCTATCTTTTTCAAAAAATGCCCAAGATGACTCTTAAAAATCCATATTTACTCGTTAAATCAGAGGACTGTGAGGAAACCTGCTTAAAGTATTCTGAATCTTCAATGGCACTGACGAAGTCCCTGCTGCAAACGTCATTAGCATAAACCCTGAAACAAATTAGAGGACACACGTAAAACCGAGAACAAGAGGCACCTCTTCTCAAAGCACTCTGGGAGTATGGAACAAGCTACCCAGTCATGTTGCTGAAGCCAACACTCTGGATTTGTTCCAGAAACAGGCTTTACACGAATGGCAGTCTTCATGTGTCTTCATCCATTATTTTCAGTATAGGGGTGAAATACAATAACATCATGCCTATGATCTAATTGCTATTTTTTAATCTTGCATTTTGTTTCTTTTTCTTTCTTTCCTAGCCAGCGCAGGTGTTGTTTGCGGGAGAGGCCACACACAGGAAGTATTATTCCACTACCCATGGAGCCTTGCTGTCCGGTCAGAGGGAGGCCAACCACCTTATTGAGATGTACCAGGATTTGTACCATGCAGAAAAAGCAAAGCCCAGCATTTAAAAAGAACCACTAACTAGTGATACAATTATATGTTTCATGCATTTTTATATTTAGTAGGGCATTTAAAACTAAAAAAAAAAAGAAATATTGTTATGGATGTTTGAATATAGAGGCTCCTTAGGAATTATTTTGAGTTGTACTGTAACGCAGAAAAAGGGTGCTCTTATCTCTCTGTTCTTAATTTTTCTGAGACTTTTTTTAAATTTAAAGTAATTCTTTTAACACTTCTTTTCTTTTTTGTAAGTGCCTTCTATATCTAAATTTATGTTATATAATGAACAACGAAAACTAATAAACCATATCATATTAATGATGCAAAACAGTGCTCAAGCTTTTTTTTAAATAATCTTGAGATTTTCATTAAAATACCTGAATTCTGGAATTTAGGAAAGTTTTGATATCTTTTTTTAGGTACATAATTTATTTTTTTTAAACCTAGCAAATTATATATACTGTAGCACAGAAATACCCAAAGTTTGACAAATTCAGACCTGGAATCTTTCATATTCGCTATTTTCAGTCTTTTAATACAGGTACTCAAATTATTACAGTATATCTTTTTTTCTGCAGTTTATGAAGTACACAAAACAACACTGTGAAATTATGTGTTCTGTTGAGAAAGTACAATAGCTCCACCTGTTGGTAAAATTAACACAAATTCAAACTTCAAAAAACAAAAGTTCAAGTTCAGGTTTATTGTCATTATACTCCTATACAGGTATATGGTATAACGAAATGCTATTTAGCTAACTCTCAGATGATACGTAGTACAAAAAACAACAACAATACAATTGTATAATAAAAGAAAGAGACAACAGGCAATGTGCAAAAACAACAACAGGTAATGTGCAAAAACAACAAAAAGGTAACAGGTAATTTGCAAAAACAACATCAGATGTGCAAAAACATGCATAAACAGAATGAGATAAACGGATAGAAATTATGGGGAGTGAGCTATTTGACATGTAAGGTAGAGGTAGATTTCAATGTGTGAGTTTTTGGTAAGAAAGAAGGCACTGTGAGGTTCAGATAATAGGTATATATATTCGTATGAGCTTAACATGCAGAAGTTACATAGTTATATTGTCACAGTCAGGTGCCTCAGCCAGTCGCGGCTGGCATCATCCAAATCGGTGAAGTTGCCAGGGCACCTGAAGAGAGGGCAGGAGTATAGAATGTGGTCGGCCGTCTGCTCCTTGCCGTCGCCGCATTCGCAAATTGGGTCATCAGTGAGACCCCACTTGTGTAGGGTGGCCTGGAAACGGCCATGTCCGGTTCTTAGTCGGTTCAGCTTGACCCAGATCATAGGTGAGAGGTGAGGTGAGACTGAGAGAGGCTGGGAGTTTAATAGTTTGATGGTGCGGGTTTAAAAACGGTCTCTGAGTCTGGTAGTCCGGGCCCGAATACTCCGGTACTGTTTTCCAGATGGTAGAGGGTCAAACAGTCTGTAGCTGGGATGTGTGGGGTCTTTGATGATGCTTAGAGCTTTCCTCAAGCACCGTCTGTCATAAATGTCCTGTATAGATGGGAGGGCAACCCCAGGGATGGACTGGGCAGTTTTCACCACCTGCTGTTGCCATACTGTACTGTGATGCAGCCTGTCAGTGTGGTTTCTGTAGTGCATCTATAAAAGTTAGTGAGGATCTGGGAACATATCTTAGCCTTCTTCAACTGTCTTATGAAGTTGTGCAAGTACTGTTACAGTAAATTAAGAGGCTCATGTAAAACATTTAAACATTCATTTTCAGCATTTGGAGAAACATACTATAATGTAATATCATCTGTGAATGTTTGAATTGATAAAATTGTAATTGTAAATTTGTCACTTTCTAAGCAATTTGAGACTCCTAGGAAAATGTTGATACTGTTATTATTTTTGAGAAAGGTAAATGAATTTGTGTTGACTAAAATATCAAGGAAGTTATATAATCAACATTATCAACATTTGTACAGTTCAAGAAAAAAAGGTCAAATTTGAGAGTAACACGAGATAACCAAGGGATACTGTACCTGCATTCCCCACGCCTTTAGCTGTGCATTTAGTGGTGTGGGTCATTTTAAATGGTAATAAACATAAGAAACATGTAGACACTTTGAACATCAATTAAAATACAATTACATTGTGGTTCACAGAAATTAGTTTTTTGTGTGAATTTTTTGAAAAGCGAACATAGAAAAGGATAGAAAGTTTTCACAAAAAGATACATGGAACACTTGATTCATTATTGTCAAATATGTGAAATTACTTCCGGCTGAATCCTAGGATTTTTTCTGTTCTATTTTACACCCATCCAGTCTGGAATTGTCAATTGTTGAGAATCATGACTTGTCGCTTTGACACTTGTACCTTGTACTCAAGACAATTGAGCATTTGTCTGCTCGCTCTTCCAACCCACCCATCTGTAGAAGCCATTTGTTCTCTGACATGTACAAACTCCACAGTGCTTTACAGGATGTGCAGTCAGACCCTGGGTTTGAAGTAAAAGCACAGATATACCTGCAAGTGTTGAATCTAGTGCAGCCTACACAAACACAAAACCCACGGTGCCCAAAGACTAGTCTGTTCCTGTGGGATGATTGACCGTCATTGGCGGTCATACAGTATGTCATAATAGTCATATGGGAATGTCATTGTCATGATAGTCTTGGTTTTGCACACTGCATGGCCTGACATGCACACTGATAAGAGAAGTTGCACATGTCATGCTGATGTCACTGAAAGCCCACATGTGCTAGGCAAGTTTTTGGCAAATCGATACTAGGGCCATCTTTGAAACTTTTTTTATACATCTGGTGCTGCAATGATGAAGTCTACACTGGTGGTGTGACATCAGCAAAGTGAGAATCTCCATTGTGTTACATTTTATTATACTTAATTATTAATTATAATATAATTATTACACGTTATCCAAATAATAAGCACGGATTAGTAAGGTATTCATGAAGGTAATGCCCAATAAAAAGAAAAATGCTTTCTGTCTGGGAACAGTGAGGGGGGCAGGCTCTGCTCTGTCCTACCTGGACAGTAACATTGAGCAGGCGAATTAACTAAATACCGCTGAGAATGCTGACCCCCGAGCCACAGACTGTAACCCCGAGCCATCGTGTCACCCACTTTAGGAGTGTGGGTTTCTGTGATCTCTCACTGCTGGCTTGCAGAACCCCTCCAGGCTCCTAAGATGTACCAGTGGTCCCTTTCAGAGAAGCCTTCTCAGCCCCAAATTCCTGTCCATCACTGAGGTGAAAGATCTTCAGGTCCTCTTCTCCCACGGAACCGCTCGTCAGTTCTCTATTCCACTTGAAGAGCCAGAAAAAAATCCCACCAAACTCCTTTCCGTCTATCTTCCTAGCAGAATAGAACTCTTCACGGAACCGCTTGTCAGATCTCTATTCCACTTGAAGAGCCAGAAAAAAAATCCCACCAAACTCCTTTCCGTCTATCTTCCTAGCAGAATAGAAACTCTTCACGTTCATTCTCTGAAGCCCAGGGGACCCTCAACTCTTTCAGCCATGGTCAGTCTTCCCTTTACCCGAAGACACATGTTCCCTGGTCTCATCCGAGATCTACTGGTGTGCAGTTTCCAACTACAGCCTGCGCTCTTCTGAAACTCTACAGAGAATTCAAATTAAATACAGGAATACACATATACTAAATACCACATTTATTCTGGTTGTATCAATCACTTGTTAAATTCACTTCAGAAAGAACACATAATGTACTTGCAAGTCTCTTCTACACCACTCTTAAATCCACCTATATTTGGTGACTGGGATTAGGCGTATGGGCTAGCTGCTGATGTTAAAGCACAGTAGTTGGTCATCAACTCCTGTGCTGTCTGTGTTGGAGTGGTGGCACTGGGGCTAAGGATCTGCATCTGTGGCCTGAAGGTTGCTGGTTTGTAGAGACACAGTGGCTCATCATACCGGAGCTCATCCTGATGTCTAGTGTTTTGTTTGCATTTTTAATTGCCTGCCCAACATGGACAAGCCCAAACACATTTTCCTGGAGACAAGGCCATCCTTAAAAAAGGTGGCTCAATGGATCTGAAAACATAAAAACTCACTAGGACTTGTACTTTAAGTGCAGGAGGTTATAGCTCAAACATTTAGCAGGTCTAGCATTATCACTCTCCACGTGAACCCTCCAACACTAACAGACTACTTTCTAACTTCCAACTCCCCATTATCACCATGAATCTTCCTTTTATACATAAAACACCACTTACTAATCCCACATAGAAAACAGTGCATTGACGTATTGCTTCTAGGCACCTCCCATGAACTTTGTAAAGCCAATGCAGTAGCCCTGACTGTGATCTGAATCGAGGAAGGTGGGGGTGATACCTGCTCCAGTCTTAACATTTCACTCACATGTACAACCTATTGGAAAAACATCGTTCCTCCACCTCAGAAATATCGTGAGGCTACATCCTGATGAAAGACTGGTCAACATTTTCTTCTTCTCTCAAATTCATTACTGTAATGCCCCACTAGCTGGGGTGTCTAAATCCACATTGAACAAACTTCAGTACGTCTGGAATTCAACAACACCTATTCCTGACCAGGTCTAGTGCCAGTGATCATATTACTCCTAAACTTGTACTGGGTTCCTATCAGGCTTCATGTCAACACTCAAGCTCACCTATAAGGCTCTCCATGGCTTGGCACCTCAGTACCTGTCTGAGTCACTATCTTCCTACTCGTCATCTTGCATCTTTGCTCTTCTAATTCCGGTCTCCAGTCTGTCCCCCAAGCCTGTCTACATACTCTAGATGACAGGGCCTTCTCCTGCTGGGCCTAAAGCTCTGGAAGTCTGTCCCTAAGGATGTCAAAGAGTCACTGTAAAGTGTTCTGAGAAACCTTGATTAAATGCACTATAATAAAATAATTAATAAGTTCCTTGGACTAATAATCCAAGAATGAACTAACTGGTGAGTCTATATATGTGTGAGAGAGAGGGGGAACTGTGGTGACCTCTAGTGGCACATTCTTGGTCATTACAGTCTCTTGTGCCACATCACAGTCTCTGCAGTGACCTGCTACAGATACACAATGAAGCATATTAGAGGTAATGCTTAATGTACACAGCTCAGCTCTATCCTTCAAAGTTGTGGGTTGTGTGTGAATCAGGAATTTCATCAGTGAACTTGTCAGGAGTTAGTGATGTCAAACTGGCCATCATGATCCTACATTTAGCACTAGAGGATGCTAATGGGCATTCTGTTCCACATAAAACATCCATCTGATCTAAATTGCCTAGTCTAAGAACATCAATATTGAGAACTGACAGGCCATCAGTAATGAGGAGATCTAATATGTG